AAAGAAGGCATCAGAAATGATTTCATTATTACTTCCTAAATTTAATGACAAGAGATTTTTTTGATATACTGAGCTTAAGAATAAAAGGGGCTATCGGTATTTTTTTTATAGACTAATGGAATGCTCCATTTTTCCAAACCACACAAATACATCCGAATCTAATGAGACAGTTGTGCCTACCTGTCAAGCCTAAATAATCAAGCTGCCAAAAAAAAAAAAAAAAAAAAAAAAAAAAAACCCCCAAAAAAAAAAAAAGATACCCTGCAGAATCCCTGGGGAGTGCACACCCACAGAGTTTCAAGAGCAAGGGAAAGATACTTTTGGATGCCTGCTGTTCACTAGGGTGCCAGAAGTGACTGACCCTCCAGACAGGGTACCAAGCCAGGGCCCAGGAGCCTGCAGACGTAGGCTACCTCACCTTGTATGGGCCCAACTGCCCTCTGCTGAGACTGGCAGGATGGATGCCCACTCTGATGCTCTGTGGCTGTCTATCTCCTTCCCCTGGAGACACAGATCTGCTGCCAGCCAGGCCCACTTTGTAGAGCCCCACCCTCGATCCCTGGAAGCTGCTCTCCTCCTCCCCATTCCTGGTTGGTACTACCTATGCTGATATCCTGTCATAGAACTTAGTGGAGTCAGGTAAACTAGCCACTCTCTTCTAAGACATTTCGGCACACTTAAGGATGTTCTCTCAGATTCTCTCTGCAATCTCCCTTCTCCAGGATATCTGAATATGACAGAAAGCTATCACTGCTGAGAAGACAGGGAGGGACCCAGGAAGACTGTCAGTGGCCTTACTCCCTCCTGGTGCCATCTCCCCTACTACTGGACAGCTTCTTGATGTGGGGACTGCTACCAGGCTCAGCTGAAGGTGCCTAACATTTCATCTCTGGGGTTCCATCTCCAAAGTGGCTACAAACAGAATGCATTCGGAGGTATGTGATCCCTAAGGAAAGATACTGGGGTTCCTAGCAGCATCACACAGACAGAATCAATCTCTCTGCAAACCAATTAGGGACAGCACACAGGTTTTTCACTTTGGCAGTACTGCTGTTAGAAGCAGTATGCCTTGGAAGGAAACATCAGGAAGAATGTCCCTGGACAAGCTCACCTCCCTTCCCCAGTTTGCTGCATCCCAACCAACAGCTGGCACCTTAACAACAAGGAGCCACTGGGTGTCCTGGCAGGCCATACAGGAGTGTATGGACTTGAGAGCTGAAGGAAAGCACAGCTGACCATGGCAAACTGATGGCATCCTCTCCTGGGGGCATTTCTACTGCCTCCCCCTCCTTCTGAGATGACTCAGACTGTAACACAAAGAACCAGAACACTAACTGCAAGGACACTTTATGGACTAATAGTGCATTAAGTCCCTTCCTTTCTCTACCACATCAGCACCACTCTGGACTTGAAGAAGTCATGGGGACAAAGGAATGTGGTTCCATTCTTCTCCTGGAACTCGTGCAACCATATCACCTCATACAAACTAAAAAGCACAGTCCTTCCTCCCCAGCCCCAGAGGAAAGACAGCCACCATGGCACCTTGTGGATGACATCAACTTCCAGTCGGCCAGGAATGTATGTATGCCACTCGAGTCCTGGAGCCTGAAAGACAGTAAGAACAAACCCAGAGCCCTTTCTTCACCCACTGCTATACAACAGACAGCTGCCCAGGAAGCAACAGAGGTGGAGGCAGGGAGGCCAAGAAAGGTAGAGGCAGCTGATCAGTATCTGGGAGTGGCTGCCAGGAACCTGAGGAGAATAAAGCTGGGATCAGCTCTGAGGAAATCACCCCCACAGAGGCCTTCCACACGAGACTCCACCCTGCTGTGAGGTTGGCAGCAGCCAATTCGGGGAGAGCCAGAGCTATGGTAGGCACGCAGGCCTGCTACAGCATGCTCACAGGAATGTCATGGGATGATCTGCACCATGGTGCCATGCTGGCCTCCTGGTCAGTCTCCAGGAGGACACAAGGACAATAGAGCTCCTGCCACCAGACCCTGACTTCTTCAGAGAAATGAGCAGCACTGGCTGCACTGGAAGCCAGCATTTAAGATCCTTAAATCCAATCGGTATTCACCACAGTTCAAGTCACTGCTAGGTTAGTTGAGTTCCCTGCGTTTCTTCTCTGGGCCTTGAAAAAAAAAAAGTCTCCCTCGCTGCCAAAACTGGCAGTCCATCCGCCTACAATAAAGTCAGAATCTGCTTGTTTTGCACAAGGAAGCCAAGAAAAGGCACTTGAAGGATGCCACCAGCTCTGAGGGAAGATGGTGCAAGGAACCCTCTGTCTCCTGCCATCTGTCTGGAGACAAAGTCCACAGAACCACCCTTAATCCCACCCTAATTGAGGTTATTAGGCAAGAAGCAGCCTCCGACTACACAGCCTAGAAAAAGAGTAACCTATGGTTGACAAGGGAATAGCCCAGCCTTAAACCCCAGCATTTCTCACTCCCCATCTAAACCCAACTGTGCCTCTATTGTTCTGGACTCAAGCCAAGCTGCCACCAGCAATTTTCTGGGTAAGGAGCAAAACACAGCAAGAAGAGGAAGGCTATCCCCCAGCCAGCAGCACCACAGGGTTGGAAGAATCCCTCTCTGGTACCCAGGGACAGCACTTGGACCCCTGAACTACAGCAGTCCCAGAGCAGCCACAACACAGGGAAAGAAAAAACAGCAGAATAAAGCAACAGAAGGTTGGGAGAGGTGGAAAAGTCTCCCAGGAGAAAAGGCCCCTCCTGCTTCTGGACCAAGTTCAGTGTCTCTAGAAGGGAAAGGGACACTAGGTCTCCATCCCACTGATCTTTTGCAGCAGTCCACTCCTCCCCGCCAACAAGTGGCCCAGGACTGCCACCTAGTGGGCCCTACTCAATAAGCATGACAGGGAGGCCAGACCTCAGAGGTGTTGGGAATGGATAGACCTCCCAGCAGCAGTGACACCTCATTCCCAAGATTCAGTGGGGTTCTCTCTGGCTGTGCAGCAACCCAAATTGTTGATGAAACAATTAGGAAACAGAGTGAAAAGCAGGAAGAAATCAGTTATGAGTTTGTCCTTCTTCTCTACTATTCCCGAGAGCAGGCAACCAGCTTCCCTGCCCACACCTGCCCCTGTGCGGAACAGAAAGTACATGGAATAGGCACACCCATTCCAAAATGCCCTTCTAGGATGCCCCTTCCAAACACATAAGTTCCAGGCTCTGGCCTCAAACCTAAAAAGACCTTCTTAGAAAATAGGTTACATGACCATGGGAAGTGGCTTACTGTGGACACAGGAGGTACCCCGGAAAGCAAGATAGGGGCTCAGGAGAAGCATGTCTGGTAAAGGGCAGAGCATTGCACAGACATATTCAAATGTGAATAATCAGGATGGTGACACTGGCAAGGTAAACACAGAGAACTAACTGCAGCATACAATGCTGCTTGTTGCTGAACTCAGACCATGTATTCTGCCAAAGAGCACTCACAATGTTCCAGGAACAAAGTTCTAGTTCCCCCTTATTCACCAGAAGAAATATGAGAGATACCACCACTTCCTCAAGAACACAGAGGGAAGCAGGATCGAATCCAAGTAGTCTGGCTCCTTAATCCACCCCACCCTATGCCACTACTCACATTTTCAGTTGCTAGAGACATAAAATCCTCCCCAAAGCTCTAAAAACTCAGATCTGCTATGGCCCAAAGCATAGCAAAGTATCAGAATCCTGCCACTCCAGGGAAGTCTAAGAATCAAGGTATGCCAAGCAGGCAAGTTCTTACCAGGGAAAAGCAACTGTGTTCAGAGAAGTCCAAGAAGGGTGCCAATCCCTGAGGCCCTACTGAGCCTGGACAGCAGATAAAAACACACATTCCCTCCCTACTGACAGTGACTCCAGGAAAAAGAGAAAAAGAAACAGGAGAACACACCACTCCTACCCTCTCCTCCTTTCAACCCTCTGGGGTCAAGAGGACTTTGCTGGAGTCAACAGAGAGCAACAACTGCCATTGAACAGCTGTATCTTCCCAACAAGAGCTGTAGACCAGGCCTACAGCAGTGTCCCAAGTCCCTGAAAGAACTCTGTAGATACCTCATTAGCCTGGGAGAACAGCCTGTCCACCTGTTAGAACTGACCATCTACTGTAAGATGACAAATGGAGCAGTTGATGGCTGGCTCTGGCTGAATGGGGAAGTTCAGGCTCACGGCATGTGGAATCTACACTGAAGCTGAAGTGGGGGCTCACTTACCTGGAGGACAGGGAGGAAGTAGGGGGATTCATGTGGGGTTCACAGGACCAGTGCTATGCAGGTTGAATCTCAGACTAGGAGGTGCGGTGGCCTCAACCAAGACCAGACCCCCAGCAGCTGCAGCACCAGAAGCCAGCTGCCTAGCACCATATCAGTCTTCATCCTGATTATAATCCCAAGGGAGAGGACCCAGCTCTGTGAGACTTGTCTCTATTCTGCCTCATATGCTGGAAAACACTGGCCCTATGAGAGGTCTGGCCAGGGCTGACTTTGGACAGATGGCTGGGGGGAAGCTGTGTGCTGAGCTATGGTCAGCATCTTGACAGAAAATCTTCAGAATAACAGAGACATGTGTCTGGGATCTCAGTGGAAGCCTGACACTGCCTAGAAGGCCAACTGACCACTAGAAAGAAAAAGTCAAAGGCAACTCAATTCATGGGAATAACAAACCCTATCTCCAGTCCTCAGACGCACCTTAAAGAACGGGTTGATAGAGGCAAAAGCAATGTGCCTTCTCTAGGGCCTCATTACTACTAAACGTGCAGAACAGCAGCAAACACTCAGCACATGATCCAAGAACAGGTTTAATGAAGAATATGGGCTCCCAAGTACTCTCAGTTCAAGGGGAGCTGTTAAACATTGGATATGAAATGCTCCCTCCAAAAAGCTCCTATGTTGAAGGCTTGGTCTCCAGTTAGTTAGTTTAATCATGAGGACTCTGTCTAATCCACTTACAGACTTACAATTTCATGGCATTATTAACAGGAGATAAGTATAAGACGTGGGGTCTAAATTGGAAGAAGGTCACAAGTGCTATGCCCTTGGATGCTGTGCAGTGTCTTGGACCCCTCTGTCTTGCTTCCTGGACATGATGAGATGAGCAACTTAGCTTTGCCATGTCCCTCCACCTGCCTCATCATTGCCAGAAAGAATACAGACAGCAATGAAGCCAGCAATGAGCAGATACTTCTGAAACCATGAGCCCAAACAAACCTTACCTCCCTTTCAAATGTCTCTCTCAAGGGTTTGATTAGCACAGTACCTAATGGCAACTAGAGAACAGAAGCCACACAGAGTCCAGGATAAGACGGATGTGGGAGTCACTTAGGGTATGCAGAGAGGAGGCAACAGGAGAGAGGACAAATTTCCATCTGTCCCCCACCAGCCATGCCTCCCTCCTCCACTGTAACAGAGCTTCAGCTTGATGGCAGCTGGACACAATTTCTAGACAGCCTATAGCTGAGAGGCCACATGACCACTATCCATCCAATAGGATATGTCCAGAAATGGAATACTCACTTGTGCTCTTGCTTTCAGACTGGCTATGAGCTCATCGGGCCCCCTCTCCATCAGAGAGAGCTGAAGCAACCACACAGAAGCCACAAATGCTGAGGCTGGCAGCTCCCACTAGCACAGACCACCAAGTTACAGAAAAAGGAGCTGTGTCTTTCTCCTTGTGCGACTGTGCCTGTGGGGTCCCAGTCAACACTCTGACTATCTACTTAGTTCTCCAAGACTATCATTGTCCTGTCTGGGTCATCACAACTTCCCTTGAGGTTCTTGGTACTTATCTTGCCTCCTCCACTCTGAGCCCTCCTCCACCTTGGCAAAGGTTTACCAAAGCTCCCTCATATCCCAGACCCCAGCTTTCCCCTTGCTTGAGAGTTCTTGTAATTTGAAGATTCTCCTTCTTGTCCCTTCAGGTCCCAGCTTTCCCAGCCTGTGCCCATACAGGCGCTTGAAAGGGTTCTCCTCTGACCTTAACTGAATTGCTGCTGCTCCTCATCCTCATACCTCATTTCCCCCCCCACCCTCCTCCCTCTGTTTAAGTCCTATTCACCCACCCCTCAGGGCTCGGCCCAAATGTCAGCTTCTCAGAGAAGCCTATTGCTTAGATCAACCAAATTAGATCCTTACTGCTACTCTTGCTAGGCATTTTCCTCTTCAATAGCATCACTCTTAGCTCAGTTTGTAGCTCAAGAGTGTTTACTTGTTTGATGTCTGCCTTTCCAAGGGGAGTCTAGCTCCAGCAGGGCGGGTTCCATGTCACACACAGTGAGACAACAAAGCCTCAACAGACAGCTGCAGCACACAGAAGAACAGAAGTGAGTTCAAAGGTCAAATCCATGTGGAGGACAGTGAAGCTCAACAGACAGATTTGTTGGAAAGACCATGGAAGCGTCAGGAGGTATTCATGTCAGTAGAAGCCAAACTATAATGAGTTTGAGAAGTGAGATCATAACTTTACCACTGTACCTCCAGGACACTCCTGGATAAAGGGGAAGGAGGAGGAACCCAGAGGGCTGCTTAGAAAGGGGGTATTGATTTCAGGAAGGGAGCTAAGGATGAAGAGTGGGGCTCTGGGGAGGGGCAAGGAGCTATGTCC